TCCTCATAGGTTAATAGGAAAAAGTGCGCAATCTTTGAGTTCCCATGGAAGTCAAAGCATCTTGAGCACTTGCCTTCGTTTTTAGGAAGGTTGAGGTAAATTAACACTTACGAAATCTTAAATATAACCACATGTAGGGTCTAGCCTCAAATTACCTGATGGACTGAGAATTTCTACGTACCTGAGTACAAGTGTAATTCGCTGGTGTTTTTAATCTTTAGTGAGTATTATGCATGCATAAATTGACAGAAGTAAAATAAACAGTGTATATTTTTTTTTCAATTACTGAGCAGCGTCTGGTGGAGAGGCATTATCATCTAGCAGGAGTTAAAGTCGGCTTTAGCAGGGTCCTGATGGGGGTTGTACCTTCGAAACTCATCGAGACAGGTCATTTCTTTGAGGTATCGTCTCTTACTCACTGTTGCTACTAGTAGCACGTCCAGTGGCGGATGACAGCACATTAGTTTAGCAGTGACCGGACAGGCTGTCAATGGATGTGGCATTTTACATGGTCGCATAAGTGTGAGTTTCTTAGGAGATGGCTCAAGTTGCACAAATATGAACTGCTTGTTGTTTAACTTCTCGTCAAAGTACTCCGCTGCACTTATGAGATTCCTCAATCGATGGTTTCGTATTAACGATGCTGACGCAGCTAAACTTGCCTCACCAAAATCAAAAGGGGAAGGCATCCCCGTCATCTCTCTTTGTGACTTCTTAATGCTCAACTCATTGAATGTGATTCGAACAGCGACTGCCATATAACAACTAATCTTGATGCTTCTGGGATTGATGATGATTTCAATAAATTCCTTCGTTGACGAACCAGCTACGCACCCTTCCATAAGTTCTTTAAGACAACGAGAGAAATGTGAAGCGTTTTTGTTTGGGTTTCCTTCCGGATCAGATGTTTTAGGTTCAAATTTTGTTTGAGAAGAGGAGACAATTTTATGGCCCTTTCTTCTACCGCTTTCGGGCATTTTCGTTTCCACTTTCTTCTGAGATGCTCGCGAATCTTTGGTGGGACGGAGAGCAACTGACAACGGAACAGCTGACAAGGAGCATGGCTGGTCTTCACAACCAGTTTTAGAAGTATTACGAGGCTTTACCACCTTTAAGTCACCACTGTCTGTGTTTGGGGGAGCGTTGTCCAGTTTACACTCATCAATCGGCTTCAGTCCCTCATTGTGGAGACTACTTGTAATGGGTTGGGGCGCACAATTAAACTTTCCCTTAACCTGAGCTAAATTATCAAGATAATTCCACACTACTGATGCTTCCTGGTCAGTGATAAGGTTAGGTAGTCGAACAACAATGTAACGAGGATGCCAGATGTGCGAATATGGTTCTTGAATGATCATCCTGTTCTTCGCCCAGCAATAGATGAAAGAGCAGGAACGGTCTAGAGGATAAACCCAATCGGAGACTCTCAGGTATGGGTATGTTGGCTTCCTATCCTCAAGAGCTTCTGGCACAACTATAGTCAGCACTGCCAGAGCGTAGAAGGCGCCCACTCTTCCGCATCTATTCACTATAAACATCTGGCACCCTACGATACGTACCAGTTCAGTAGCATTACAGTAAGGCTTCAATACGTCTCTCATTTTCGACAAGAGGATCGCTGACCGGAAGGGTGAACCACGTGTTTTAAGTTTAATGTGACCTCGTGGGGACCATTTGACGCGCTCATTTGTCGATACCACATTTTAGGTTGTAAAAACTAGTTTAAAACTGACAAGATGGACTATCTTAGGAGCACAGAAGATCATGCAGCCATGATTTGGGCATAACTTCGCCATATTATTTCCAATTGCACGACCTAGCATGGGAACATATAGAACACGCCTTAAAATGACTGAAATTTTCCTATTTTTGGCACGACCTCAGTTACTGTAGCTTAGCGTTTTAAAATGTGGCAGAGATCACCAATCCAATCTGCGTTCACTCATGCATTCATAAACTCGGTGCATTTACCGGCGTGGTGTGAAAAGAATGTGTATTTCACTTCTGTATGCACTGTTTGAGGATTTCTGCAAACACCTCCATACTCAGAGTGTACGATCTATATGAGCATTAAATCACTTGCAGC